TATCATCAGATTAGGAAAAAGTTATCTTGCTTCTCAGACTTGCTGCTGAGTGGCAGATAACCACGAGTCTGGATACTCATGTGTGAGGTTTGTGTGTTTGTTTATTACAGTTATCAGAGTGTCTGTGATTTCCTCATTGTGTGCATAACAAAGCCAGGCAGGCATTACCCGTCATGTCGACTTTCTTTCTGATCATCCATGTGAGAGGTGGCAGGGAGTCGGTTAATCTTTTTCGCTCATCAGAAACACTAACTTCGCCCCGACAATAACAGCAAGGTCCTGCCAGCTTTTACCACCATGGCTTTTTTTCTTTGGTGCAAAGACTGGAGGGACAGAAAACACGCAAACATCAGCCAAGCATGAGAGCTGGTTTTCTACTCCATTAGACGTGTTTCTTGGAGAACACGTGTCGTATTGATAGACTAGATGGACCTGCTGTCCTTTCCTTAATAACCCCAAGCCAACCATTTCTACCATCCTGTAGTTACTGTATGTGTGGAGAGAGTAATGAAATGCAGACTCTTAGTAAGCACAGGTCTGCAAATAAGTAGTAAAGCAGTCCTTTTATTTCAGAAAAGAGCAGGATCATCAGCTCGCAAGAAAAATGGATGACAGAAGCATACAGTAACAGAAATAAACATGACAGTTTACAAAAAACATAATGCAATACTTATGAAGGATTTATAAATGACAACACAAGTTAACTTGATATAAAATACATTGTTGAGACATTTAAATAATGTACTCTATAATAAAGAAAGTACTCTATAATAAAAAAGTACTCTATAATAAAGAAAGTACTCTATAATAAAGAAAGTACTCTATAATAAAGAAAGTACTCTATAATAAAGAATGTACTCTATAATAAAGAAAGTACTCTATAATAAAAAAAAAAGTATGTTTAAATGGGTAATGAAAATATGAACCGTTTGTGTTAAACAACAAGTTAAAAGATCAAGTTTATATGGTGAAGATGAAGGGAACTTTCTAGAAAAAAAGGGTGACCTCTAAACTGTGAAAGAGAGAAAAATAAGTAAATAAATAAAATGCCAGTGTTGGTCTGCCAAGAAAAAGAAAGAATTAAAAACCAGCTTGTGTCTCCTCAATGCTTGTGACAGCAGCGTCCTGGATTATTTACCAGCTTTACTTTCTGTGCTGGGTTGAAGGTATTGTGTGTGTGTGTGTGTGTGTGTGTGTGTGTGTGTGTGTGTGTGTGTGTGTGTGTGTGTGTGTGTATGCGTGCGCGTGTGTTTGTGTGTGTTACAGAGAGAAACATGAGTTTAAAGAAGAGTGACAGAGGCCAGGACAGAGAGGGAGAAAGAGACACAAAGAGAGCTAATCAAATGGTTAAAAGACAACAAAATGTAGTCCATCAAGAAAACACAAAGTGCCCTCTTTAAACCACTAAAAGCTTGTTTACTGCTCTTTGTTTACAGTTTTCAGCCTGCCTTCTTCTGCCCATCAGATTTCCAGTAATCTTACACACCATCAGAGGGTCAGACACGCACGTCACTGTAAAGACAAAGCTCATCAGTCCAACTTAAATTGAAGCTTCAAATTAAGTTTTCCTAATTCTAAGGAAAGTTGTGAGTTGGCGTCACAAACTACAAATCTCGTATCAAAGTGGAGCATTGCTTTCATTTTTAAAGAATGTGATCTTAATATGAGGTCTGTTTGAGCTCTGCCTTCCCTCTGACATATCATTTGACATATCATTTCCCAACACACTTCTCTCATATCCGTACACATACAAACACACGCATTGAGCCACTCTGTCGCCTCAGTTATCTCTCCATTACATCTAATGGAAGCAGCTGGATCTTTGATATTTCTTTCCTGACTCAAGTCTTTGTAGACTCTCGGTGGGAATCCCGCTCCTCAGAATACACCGCTTTTAAGTAATTCTGCCCCCTTACTGTATTAAGTGGCTCCAGCTCTCATTCTTGCTTCTTGTGGGTTTTGAAAGGATTTCTAACATAACACATTTTAAATAGTAGTGGGTCATTTGATGGAATAAATAAATGCTGTAGTGGGCTGTTTTTCTACTTACGACACTACATTTCAAAGCTCATGACCTCACAGACTGAAACTTTAAGAGTGGTTTCACATTAGGGACCCGGGCCCGGATCCGAGTACCCTTGTCCCCAAAGTCCAGTTCATTTGATAAGTGTGAACACCGTACTCGGGTACTGTGCCCGACTGAACTTGAAGAGGTGGACAGAAGATTCACTGAAATGACAATCTATAGAGTAGGTCATGATAGTGAGGCATATACATAAACATGCAGACTATAATGTAAACACACAGGCCAAAGACTGATCCACTGTCACATCAACACTTGTTTACCTGAAAGTATGTGACAATGATGTGTTTCTGGATTTTATGTACAGCTATAATCATATCATGTCACTAGGCTTACACTTAGAGTTCTTTCATTAAAAGAGAAATCATAGGATATTTTTTTTTATCTGATATGAGGATATTCTGATGCATCTCATATGATATGATAAGTTGAAGTAGGTATAGTTTCTGCATCTCTCTGTATTTGCAAAACCAAACACTTTGCCAAAACTTTGGAGAACGTCCACAGGCGTGGCTCTGTCACTGCAGCTTGTCTGAATGATAGATAACGTTGCAGCTGGTTGCTTCCATTCAGCTTCACTTGTATTATACACTTTAAGAGGGAAGGGCTAGCCTCCTCTCATTTCTTCTTTTTCTCCAAAACTGATATTTGGGAGTAGAGAACAGTTTGTTGATGTGCTCTCTGTATGCATCTGTGCTTAGACGGGAGACTTATTCAAAGTCAAGAGGCCATGTTGATTATTGCTGGTTTAAGACCATTATAATGATACTGAATAATATTTATTGGTTCATACGTGTTCCTTCCTTCCCACTCAACACTGTGTTGAAAGATAGGAGGACAGCACTGTATGTGTGCTTGTGGGTGTTTGTGCCAGTGTATCCTCATACATCTCTTTGTGACTTTGGCAAATGTGTGTGCATCTTCAGGACGGGCATCTAACAGATAGTCTTTCCACACGCGGAAGCCTTCTGCAATCAGATGTTAAGTGGTCTCAGCATTATCTGAGCCTTAGCAGACAGTTTTGAGTCAGCTCAATCAATGCCCATTCATCCACCGCAAGAAAAGCACCACCTCCAGTTTATTGGAGTAGGGCCCCTGAGGAAGGGAGTTCACCAACGTGGCAGAAAACTACCCTCGGTCACTGAAGGTTGAATTTGAGTCAAGATTATGGTCCTAACAGGGAAGTGGAAACCGTAGTGGACTGAAAAAAAAAAGGCACTACCATTCAGCAGAATTGTAGCCCATTTCAGATCAGGACTACGTGGAAGGACTTAAGAGGGGCAGAAGTGTTTTTCCAAAATTTGATGGCAGATCTGAAATAGCAGATTTAGGGTTTGTGTTGCACACAAAGCACTGCTCAAGGCAAGGTTGGAAATGTTGTCTGCTGCAACTTTTGAAATATTATTTTTGCATAAATGAGTTTCTAGCGGGAGAGAAACTAATTAGCCTGTCATTAAGAGGAGAGAGAAAAAGTGTTGCCTTAAAGGGGCACTCAATATGAAAAATCAATGATGATTTGTGCAACAGCTTCTGCGATGGCGAAGGAGTGGGCAGCTGACCTCGCAGGACATGGCTTGATGGAGGAATAAATGGATGACCTCACATAGCATCGCACCACTGGCACCCCCATTGTGAATGAATGGCTATGTAGCAATTGAAAATATTCTACAAAATGACATGCTGTAGAAAAAAAAAACTAAGGTAGGCACTCAGGAATAATTTTGAAGTGCAGACAGAACCAAACCCCTTGTGCACTATGTTAATAAGAAATAACTTTTGGAGCATTCAGTGATATCGTCCTCATGTTTCTGTAGTCTGTTTTGATCGATATGCTTTTTGGAAACTTGGAAGAAAACAGCAGCTATTTGTGTTTCATTTTTGATGCACTTTCGATGCATCTGTGTGTGACTGTTCTGACTTACATAACCTTTTGAACTTGCACAGGTTCTAGAAGGTAGTTCAAATGAGTCTCTGCAGACCTGAACAGCAAACATAGAATGAAAATATATTTTAGGGCTCACTAAATATGCTCAGACAGTAACCTTGTGTTACCTGTCTCAGCTGTCTCCTAACTATCACAGCTACTTGTGTACCCGATAATAAAGGATTGCGACAGCTTGTTTGCCTTGAAGACGAGATAATGAGCATTGCCTCGCCTCTGGCATGACTCTGCATATATGTCTCGCTTCAAGTTACGCGGAGTAGAGCAAGCATCTTCTCTTTAGGGACTTGGGGAAGAGGTTGTGTTATTAGAGATCATCATGAGGTTGAAACAGCAGTGTGTTCTTGTTCAATCCTTTTGCACTGAGCTTTTCTTGAACTGAGCTTCTGTCTTCTAAAGGCTGATTTGCCTGAGGACCACAAGGTTGACATGAACTCAGTTTGCACTTGTCATTGTGTTCTATTGATGATGAATTGTTGTATCTTCAACGCTGCAGCAATCCAGAAAGTTGCAAAAAAAAAAAAAAGAAAATGTTATGCTTGCTTAGATGTCTTCCAGCATTGGTTACCCCATCACAAAACAAAAAGGTGCTCTTTTTTATCTATTGGGGAGGTATCTTATACACTGTTTTTTGGGTAAATATGTGACTCACTCGCTGTCTTGTCACTTTCTGCTACTTCCTCACTGTCATCCCTTATTTTCCTACTTCTTTCCTTCTCATGCTACTTCCATGTCTCTTTATTCACAAAATTGTCAGACGTCCCTCTCTGCTGACCCATTTCCTCATTACTTTTGTCACCAATGTTCTGTCTCATTTTTATTTTTTCCTCCCCTCTTTCTTTCAACCCCCTGATATGCATCTACCATTTTCCATTCCCATCTTTCCCAAAAAACTCTGTTGTCTCTTTTGCAGCTAGACTCCCTGGTTTGCCGTTTGAATTGTCATTCTTTACTAATATAGTTTACCCCCTGCAGGTATTCGTTCCAGGATGAGGAGGACATGTTTATGGTGGTTGACTTGCTCTTGGGAGGAGACCTGCGATATCATCTCCAGCAGAATGTCCACTTCTCAGAGAGCACAGTGAAACTCTACGTCTGTGAACTGGCCCTGGCACTGGGATACCTCCGCAGCAAGCGTATCATGCACAGGTGGGATGTTTTCTGTGATTTCCCATCCTATGAAAGATTTTTGGGTAGTTTATTATGTCGCAGTTTGTTTTAATAGTGTGGATACGGATTTTCTGTTTCTTCTACCCACATAAATAACAAAGGAGAAATATTCTCTGACTGGTTCGCTCTTCCCAATAATCTACTTGCCCCCCGTTCAGTCTCTCTCCGTTGTTTTCCGTCACCACAGTTTGAGAATTAAGTACCCTGGTGTTCTTCTCTCTTTGGCTGTCCACTTTAATAATATTTTGTAATATGACTGCTCCTCCACTGTGCAGAAAGATCAAGCCATCCTGACATCGAGGTCACACCTGACACAACAGTTTACCTTGAGCTGCAGACCATGGCCATCACGATATGCACCCGTTCTGTCTACGCTGCTGTGTCGATGCCTCGTTTAATTTGTAGAATGCACTTTAAGTGCTTTTTAGGCAGAAATAGCTGCTGCTATGGCAGTACCACCGACTCGCTTGGCCAAGAATGACATGGCTACAACCCAATGTTATTATTTTAAGTTATTGGACTGACTTTAAGGGCTGTTACTCATCTTGTTACGGCCAATGATGCGGCCAAAAAACATTTTATACATTGAGTTAGCTTAAAGTTATAAAGACCCTCCTCATCCTTTTTTCCTTGAAGCATACAACAGTTCTACATTAGTTATACACAAACAGTGAAGACAAGAAACATAACTAGATAATTCTCTTCTTTTGCTTGATGTTTTCTAATCTGGATGAATGAAAAACATAATGTGTCCATTATGGGCTTTCTGTCATTTCTTAAATAACTGACCTGTTTTAGATGACTCCTCCCTGAGTTGATTGTGCATGAAACAACATTCATTCCTGGTTTACAACATTAATTTCAAGTTGATCTGAGTATCACTTTTATTTAATGCCATTTTTCTGAGCTATGTCACACTACTGGGAATAACAGCCAATCCATTCATCTCAAATGAATTTGGGGCCTTGGAAAAGAACATAATTTATCACCATGTGAGCACCTGAAGAAGGCTTCAGGTAACTTTCATTCATTCTTTTGGTTGACAATCATGTTTCCCCCAGATTGCTGCTATACAATATTCAATGAAACTCTTTCAAAGGCTAATTTGAGAAGTTTTAGGCCATTGAACCACTTGATAAGGTCAGGAAATGTTAATGGCTTTTTTTTTTTAATGAAGCCAAAACCATGCCCTTTTTAACCTTAATCAATTGCATGGAGTTTCCCGGAAAAAAACATTAATCATGTTTTAGTTACCAGGAGTGTAGACTATAGAAAGAATCAATGAAATACAATGCAGGATGAAGAGCATTTAATGTTAAAACGCCTTAATGACTATTACTGGACGTTCAGATATTTTGGACAGCTGTCTTGAGTAATGCCTGTGCAGTGCTTTGCTTCTATCTCTAAAGTCTTTTCATTTTCCATCCACTGGCCAAAGTTTACTCCTCCACTCTGGTGAGTGAGCAAAGAGGTAAACACAGAAATAGAGGCTTCCTCAGATCATGACTAATAGGAAACTTCACTGTAGCAGAGAACAGTCATTCATCAACACCCCCAGATAACAAATTACGCCATTTAACATAAAGTGTACCACTTGCTCTTGTCCACAGGAAAAGGACAGTGAGGGATATAAATTGGACACATTATTAATTTTCCTATTGATTCCATCCATTGAGGAATATGAATATTTAAATCGTGTTTTCCATTTCAGCGCTCAAAGACTTCCCCACTTGATGCGCAGGTGTTGGGAGTGTTTGTTTAGATGGAATCAACATCTTTTCAATCTGCATTCATTAGTTTCAGATAGGAAGAGGAGCTGAAAGTAACTTTCAGCTCATCTCTATGGAAATTGAATGTATAATATCCTCACTCAGATCAGATGTGGACGTGCTGACTCTGGTACCATGAGTGACTTGTTTGTGTGTGTGTGTGTGTGTGTTCATGCTGGATTTATACATTCTTAATTGTTGGCATTTGATGAGTTTGATGATGATGAAGGAAGTAATGATGATAATGACATGGAACTAGATCATGCTGTAATGATCTTATTTATGAGTTTTTATACTGGCTGTGACAGAATATATATTACAGTAGTTTGCTTCAATATGGTGGCCAGATGTCTTCATTAGCTTTATCATTGATGAAGATTTATGAAAGCTGTATTTATTGAAGAATTCTCATTGGTGTAGAGATATTTCCTTGGAAAGGCAGACGTAGGGAAAACAACGATGGTATAACAAAATGACATTATTATAAAAAACAGGATCAGTGAATGTTTAAAATTCCTAAGATAGTGTTGCCAACTGTATTTACTTTATGCTCAGTTAAGGTTGGAAGTGTACTAGCTAGGAAACTTAAGCAAGGCTTAAAAACAAGTACAAAGGTGAATAGATTAATTCTACATAAAACTAAATTCCAACCAAACTTCTCATACAATTTCCAAAGGTTTACAGCTGTTTTGAATTTTAAGCAGACTGTCACTGCTTTAAAAAGGCATGCATTTATTAAAGGTGGTTGGCATGTATTCATCCATACCTAAAGGAATCTTCATAATCCAGTGTAGTTTGTCTGTTTCAGTTTCAAAATCATGTTTAATTTAGTATTTTAGTAGAGTAATAGATTTTAGCATTGCCACAAACTCTTCTTTATTCAGTCCAGAGTTTGCAAGATTTCCACGTCGTTCATACATCCAAATGGTTTGCTTTAGTTGAATGGATCTTTATAATTTACAGTATAAAAGGTCTGGGGGTTCCTGGTTGTGACAATGACATACAAGATGGTATCATCAGCATAAAGACTGACTTGGCAGTGCTCAGTGGGAAATACATTTTCATGAGCAGAGCTTAATAAAAGGGTCCCATATATATATATTTATTTTTAGCTATCGGAGGACCTTGGTGACTTGCAAACGCCCTGTGAACATGGAATTGATATGTTCCTTAAATAGTGTAGAAATTGGGGTTCTTTAAATAATTTGGAAATTGGGGAAACAAATAAATGCAATTCTTGATTTGGAGGGTTCTTTCTAGACCCTAAGCTCTACTGGGGATCCCTATTTCCATGTCACCAGAAGTCAAAACAAGTGACGCTTTATTTTTAGCGCACCTTGTTATTGTCAATAAATAGCTCTTGCACTGTATGACACTGCTTGGAAAATAGAAGCAATTTCCAGGGAGTAAAGACTGAGCAGAATTGAGGTTAACTCGTCTTGACAGAGTCTGGATGGAAAATCAACAAGATGACAGTGTCATCGTAGAAACGCGGGAGCCTTAGAGTATGATGCACCGTTCTATCTAGCGGAAATGGATTTTACTTGAAGCCTTAAAAAAATTGAGATGATCTTGAAACTATGTAAGTGTCAATGTGAAAACAGTTTGCGTATGTCTGTAATACTGGAGTTAAATATGTACTTTTTTGGCCATCATCCACATTGGTTATGACAACATTTTAATAAAGTACAAAAGTAATGATTTAAGTAGCTGCTAACATTTGGGAACACTGTGGCACTACAGCTGTTGCTTAAAAAGGGGTCAATAAATGATCAAACAAACCAATACCAAAGATTATCTTTACTAATGTATTTTGGAGAAACAGTCCAAAACATATAAACATCTGACTATTCATGTTTTTTCCTCTCATGGATTTCTTTCTAAGACATTTTGAACTGCTCCCAGACGTCAGAGATTAATTTGGTTAAAACCATATTAATTGGCTAAACATATAAAATCACTGCTGAATATTTGAAACCTGCTAGCTATTTTGTTACCCATAATTTCACGTAACATGATCACATTACATTCTCACAAAGGTCATTTCAAACTAGAGTGTTTTCTAATTCAGTCAAAATGTCCTACTATTTTATTAAAATATATTCTTGATGTTTGAAGACGTCACCTCACTTTGAGTCAGCATGTTTAGAATATGATCAACCTCAGAGAGTTCATATATCCGGGGGAATCTTTTTTTTTTTTTTGGTTCGTATTTTTTTTTAACCCTAGGCTCTCTGTGGAATTTGAATTATTAACAACAGAATGAGTCTTAATAAGACAACCTCCTCAGAGGCTTGATGAGTCGTTCTAAACAAGTGGAAAGATAAATTGCAAGTGTGTGACAAGAGAAGGCATGTATGTGTGTGTGTGTGTGTGTGCGTATGAAAGCCTCACCACAGCCCATTGACATCAACAACAATAATCTCTGGCTGAATCCTCTGGTGCATTATGTTGTCTCCTGAAAAGTCTGAAATGAAAATGCTTAATGTTGTCAGCAAGCAGATGCTCTTAACGAGTCTATATGCCTCAGAGTTTCACGTAGCAACCGCAAGGCCCATTAAAGTGGTTAAGGGGCTAATTTATGGGTGACTGACAGATGGAGACAGACCTTTACCAGCCATGATGGAAGTCCACTTAGTGAATCATGATTGCAGAAGGGAACATATACAATACATACATTCAAGTAGTGGTGCATGGATTTGACTGATCAATTATGTTCAGTACTTTACACAGTGACCCTGAGAGGTGCTACAATGCCATGCATTTTTTGTTGTTTGCATCAGTGTAAAAGTGTAGAGCAGGTAATACAATTATGAATATTTGTTATTTTTTTTGTTATATGTTGAAAGGATGCCATGGGACTCCATCATGTACTTTTTAAATGTTATTTTTGTTATATGTTATTTCATGACGGAGAACAGGAGCATCTATATGTTGTTGTTTGGACTTAATTCAACGTAGATTGTTAGTTGCTAGAGCCCCAAGAGTGTTCAAAATAATAATAATAATAATAATAAAAACCATGTAGGGGGGAAGGACTTAAGATGGAAGAAATGGACTTGGGAAACAAATGTGAAATTGTTCCGTTCAGATTCCTATTCCAATCAAACTAACTGAAGCGTGGGGAGACCCAGCTGTTGCAGCACCAATCCTTTTTCATCCAAGGACGTCTTCTCTTTTGCAGACTATGATCTCTTCCCCCTGCTCTCT